CTCGGAGGTATACAGATCTGAGGTAAATTATTACTTAGTCTGATGAAGTGATAAACAATAATCTAGTCAAGGCGCAAAGAGGGGGTTTTGAAGAAACCCCGCAGTTAATAGAGAGTAAAAGTTCTCAGGTGCACTGGTTCAACTAGCATCAACATAATAATAATAAAAATAATACTGCTATAAAAAACTTGTTATTAAATATTGTAAATATACAGCTAAATTTTTAATTACTAAAATTTTTTTCTTAAATGTATTTAGTTTTCTCAAAATTCGTTCGTATAGTGTAAATTTTTAAAACTAAATATTTTTAAGTGATCCATTTTTAATTTTAATCAAGATATAGTGTTTCAAAGCAAATCGTAAAGCTGAAGAGTATGAGTTTTCTGTAGAAAAAAATAGTTAGAAATCACTTAAGAGTCTAGTCTGCTAGTCATTTGAAAATATATAAAAAAAAATTAAATTTTGTAAACACATACAAGGATAAATAAGGTCATCTGGAGAAATAACTGGAAATTTCTTAAAGAAATTAGTTCTGAACTAATATACTTTTAGGTCCTCAATCAATTATTTTTTTCACTACTTCTGTTTACTATTTTAATTTTAATTAAATTTTAATGCAAAAAAATAAATATTTAAAAGATGAAATAATTAAAAAGTTTTATCTCTACGGTATTTTAATTAATTTACATTAAAGCAAAAAAAAACTACATTTTAGTTTGTCGCACAAATTACGACACTTAAGCCAATTGCTTGAACAAATATGCATGCATGCATGTGCCACATGCTGTTAATTTAGTCCTACCATGACCAGCAAGGACAGCTGCTTAATACATTTAACACAATTATCTCCACAGGAGCCGAAAAATGACCTTCATGAAACCATTTTGCTTTAATGGAAGCAAAGGATACAAAAATTAATCTTCCAACTATATTCATCATGATTAAATACACTTGCTCCTCTTTTATCCGAAATTAGCACTTTTGTTGAGCTTATAGAATATTGCTCTTTAATGTGAAAAAAAAATTATATATAAAAATGAATTATTTTTACGAAATAAAATTTTTCAATTAATTTAATAAATAATCAATATATCCCCTGTGTTGGCTTAACAAAATTCGCGTAGGAGAAGACTCTGTGAACAAAAATCAAATTAAAAATTTCAACTAAAAAACGGTCATTTGAAAGTTTACCTGGACAAAGAAAAATCACTTAAGTTTGCTAAGATTATGTGAGACCACACAACTCAACTTTCTGACAAGTGTTGTATATGTAGTGCTATTCTAGTAGCATATTTCATCTTCAGAAACATGATGTTCCTTAACAATAAATTGATATTATTAGAGATACTCACCAAGTAAACAGATATATCTTAACAGAAATAAGATGATGTACTTTAAACAAATATTATATTGTCAAGAATCAATAATTTTTTTAATAAAAACATTTCCAAAATCCAGAAAATAAATATTTAGTTCTCGACGTATTATGTTGCCGCAAAATAAATATAAATTTATATGGATATAAATTTCTCAATGACTGTCAGAGAATTATTTTTATAACAATTAGATATTGCATTTAATCTAGATATTTGTATTTGATTTCGTTTTTCGTCCTATATTTCATCCTAGGTATCCAAATGCACCTATAGTATTAATGTAATATAAATTGCAATATTTTTACTACCCTAAAAGTAGTAAATTTCATTTCTCATATATCTATCTTTATCCCTGTTTCTTCTCTATCCTTTTTTTCTTGTTCTCTTATTCTTCTTCGTGTCTTTCTCTTCCTTTCTTAATTTTTTTTCTCCCTCTTTCTCTTTTTCGTCTTTTACTCTCCTATTTTAGTCCTTCTTTTTCTTTCTTTATATCTTTTTTTATCTTTCACTTTCTCCTTGTATTTCTTTTCTTCTTTTTTATACTTTCTATTCATTTCTATCTTCACTTCTGCCATTTCACCTCTGGGTCTCCCCTCTCCTTCGTTACTATCAGCAACGTTTATTCTCTCATCTCATCAATTTATTTTCTTTCTTCGGTTCTCTCCTCACACTCTTTCTTCCTTTCTACTCTCTCATCTCCTTCATCATTTCTCTCCATCTGCTCTCTTTATTGTTTTCTATTTTTTTTTTTTGTGTATTCTCTATTTTCCTTCTCTACACCTAAAACTCATTTATAAAATCTGCAATACAATCATTTCAAACTAACGCATATACACCCATAAGATTACCTAATTCTTATAGAAGAACAAACAAGGCTACAAGAGAAATGCTTCCACTTATAAATCATATATTTACTGTGCAGTTCGGAAATGGGGTATTACAGAATGAATATCTGAATAATTTTTATTTAATTGTTTTTTATTATAAGTTGTAATTTAACGTCAGTTACGACAGAAGTGACTATTATATTTAATAGAAACTAGCATATTTGGTGGAGAGGTTTCAAATAGTAGTTAACTACAACAACAAAAATTATTTTTATATTATTTTAATTAATTGAATTTTTATCTGAGCATACCTACAGCTGTTTCAAGTATTGCCAAATACCCATCATCAATGGTCTTGGAATTATATCTTGTATTCAATTATTCGTAAATAATTCTTTTGAGACTGCAAGTACCAAAAGTGTTTATTTTTTTGAAATAAATAAAGTAACAAATTAATAAAATATTTAAACTATAAATGTAATTAAAATATTATTGTTAAAATTTCAATTTTAAATAAATTGAATTTATTTTACATAAACAAATTCAAACTTCCTCATGTCCTTGGGCAGCATTCCATTCTTTTATCTTAAACTTTTTCGTTTTTTTCTGAAAATTCTTAAAAGGCTATTAATCACAAAATATTTTCTGTGATACCAACTTTTTATTTTACCATTCAATATAAAGTTTTTCATTTTATGGCGTTAAACCGTAAAATGTTTGGAACGTTGCTTGGAACTACTTTTTCCCAGTCAAACTAAGTTAATAGAGAATGAAAAAGTTTTTGAATATATATATTTTTTTTTTATTTTTGTGTTGGTGACGACACTGGAAACATTTTTTCTTATTCATATGTAGATTTCTGCATTTGACATTAACTAGTTTGCAGTTTAGTTTTTAATTCTAATTTCTAAATATTATATTAATATTTAAATACTATATTAACCATATTTGGATAACGAATTACGTACGTCATGTACGTCTTTTAGATATATTACAAATATTTTGTTTAATTTTTATTCATTTATTTTATTAATATTCATTTGATTAATATATTTTCAATTAGTAATTTATTTATTAATCCTATAAGAATGTATTTTATATAAAAATTTTAAAAATGATTATATAAAAACAAAATTTAAAGATATTTAAAGAACGTATGTATTTAACCAATTTATTGAACTAAGACTCGCGTAGAGTTTAACTAGAAACTTTAAGAATCCAGTTTAATGTTTCATCAGTAGTTTTAGGAACTCGTTCATTCAATGTTTCCTGTTGTAATGAATTTTAATTTTATTATTTTGTATATATGGTAAATATATATAAATTACTTCCTTACTTAGTTGACTATTACAGACAAGATTCGTTATTGGCCGCGTCGAGTAGACACCGCCGATTAGTTGTTTGCTATCACTAATTAGTAATACCGAGCGTTCCTACTCTGTTGGTCACCTGGTCTTTTCGCACGTTCTCTACCGCGTTTTCACCTGTGGGTACCAAATCGAACGCCTTTATATCCTGACTACTTTCATCAATTCGCATGACATGATGAAGCCAGCAAAACCCCTGAATTTTTATGCGCTTAACTATGTCAATGTAGCAGTATAGATCATATGGGTCATCGTTCCAGCCAACGCTGTAGGGCCTATACATACTTCGAAAAATTTTTCTTTCGAATGCTACTACTACAGGTTCCCAAACCTACGCTAGGTCTCAAATAAACTATCTTTCGCAACTTTGAAATTATAATTGCCAACAATAACGTGGTACCCAATACGTTCAGAAAATTTGATTATTGATAGGAGTTACTTACTTTGTTTTGTCATTTACCAAAAGATCCATTTGTTTCGCGTGATAGAAAATGCCGCACTGACAGCGCGCGTGTTCAAGCGAATTATATTAATATTGTCGGCATACGTAAGCAGCATCACACTTGTAAAATATTGTGCCAGTATGGTTGAAATAGGTTAATAGTTTTAATAGGTTAAAGTAGTCCACGACATGGAGTTACCCTGTCTGGAACCTCGTTTGCTATCAAATGGGTTGGAGAGGTTCTTTTCGATTCTAATACAGCTGGTAGTGTTGCTCAACGTCATTTTACATAGGCGTATAAGTTTTACTTGGATTTCAAATTCAGACTTAGCGACATAAAGGGTGCTTCTATATTTATATATTTATATGTATCATATATATATAATACTTTATACTTCAAACAATCCAAAATCCGGTAAATGTAAATAACATAAACATAAGTTCAAACATGATTTTAGATTATAATAAATATATTAAAGAAACAATATTAAATATGCAACTATGGAATATGAAAGTACTCCGCTATATATTGTATTATATATTAACTGTCATTTATGGAAAATTGCTATTATTTTCAAATATCAAATTTTTTTAGTTAATATTTTTAATATTAAGTGCAAAAAGCTCTTATGAAATTGTTTTTAATAATTTTATGTTTCATTATTTTTCTTTTTTTTTGAAGTTTTTTTGACCTGTCACTAATTTATTTTATAGACTTTTTTGTTGCTATAAGCTGGCACTTCAAATTTGCTTATATTAATGTGTATATTTGAGCTATGATACTGAAAATTTACTAAGTTAGAGATTTACTTAGTAAATAGTAAAAATATTAAGTATAGCATTTCACCTACAGTGCAAGTTACAGCTTATCTACTTCAGTAAATTGAAAATCACAGAGAAGAAAAGAAAACTATTATAATATATTAAAATTTTATTATTAAAATTATTATAAATTTAAATTTAATTTGTATTAAATTTAATTAACCCATTCCACTTTCTATTTTTGCTATTCCACTTTCTTCTTATTGATTTTATACTTAATTTTTTTCTGTTCTAAAGTCTTTTGTATTTATTTTATATTTTATTCCCTTATATTCCAGTTTTTTTTGTATTTTACAATTTTGCATGCAACACCCTATTCCACTTTCCTTTTATAGTTTTGAAAGTTATAAGAATTTTAGGTTAAGTTTAGATTTTCATAATATATAAATTCCCTCCATTTTTTGGTTTTTTAATTTCGATTTTTCTTCCTAATCAGTCGTTTGTTTGTATCAGATTTGTTGTAGGTTTTTACGTATGTGACTTCTTTAGTCAGACTTTCCTTATTATTATTACAGGTCTGTTTCTTTAATTGTGTAGTATCTACACTTTTCTGGTCATCTATTTGATTTTCTTCAACTTGTTCATTTGCATCGGATTCTTGTACGAAGTTTTTTCTAATTGCTTCTCTAAATGTACTTGATGTAGGAAAATTAATTCCTTTTCCAAGGTTGTGTCTAATTGTTTCCCTACATGATGTGCTTGGGGCATCCAGAAAAAAAACTTCTTTACTCTTTTCTATTATCGCTAATTTACGTTCTCTTGATAATTTTTTAACTGATTCTTTTAGTTCATTTTTGGCTGAAATTATCTTTCGCTCTTGTAGTAATTTCACACTGCGTGGATTACCGCCACTATTTAACTTAATGCTCTTCTTCGCTTCTTTCTTAAGCTTTTTGGCTTTTTTCAAAGTGTCTTCTAGTAAATCCTCCACTTTATCATTTTTTTCTTTTTGACCTTCGTTTTCTTCTTCGTTCACATTACCTTCCATATTCTTCTTTTGCATTTTAGTTTTATGTTTGAGTAATTTTGTTAATTCTCTTCGAATTTGGATATTTTCGCTTACAACTGACTGTTGTGTTTTTTTATATGATTCTGTCAGTTTTTTCTGATCTTTCTTTTCTTTTTTCCGCCGCCTTATAGCCTCAATAACTCTTTTTTCTATTTCTTGTTTGGATGGCGCAGTATTACTTACTTCATCAGTTTTCTCTTTCTCACTTTCAAGGACATTTGAGAAATTATTGGTATATTTAGGTATTTTATCATCTTGTGTGCATTTTTCTTTGAAATTATTATTGCGTTCGATCGTAGGCTTCTTTTTTTGAAGGTTATCATCTTTAATATTCAATATATGTAAATATTCAGTAGTCGTTTCCGGCTCTTTGGGCTTGATCCTAAAATTAGGTAGAGCAGGTTTTTTCTTAGTCCTTTCATTTCTAATGATTTTGCCCTTTCCATTTCGCAGTTCATTGAAACCTATTTTAGATTTTTTTTTCTCTTTTTTCACTAGTTTTTCTTCTTTTCGTTTTTGTTTCTTGTTATCGAAAAATGCCGTATAAGATTTTTGAAGTTTTACAGAATTTCGACTCTCCTTGGTTTTATGTTTTGGCACATTTATTTTCTTAATCTGTTTTCGTTGCTTTTCGCCGAAAATTGGTTTAAAATAACCAATCTTCTTCATTTTTTTTTTCTTTATTTGCAGTTCATTATTTTTGAGACTATTTTGGTGACATTTTAAACATTGAGTTAAGTGTCTAGGTACCTTATCTTCTCTCTTTTGTCGCCCAATTTTATCGTTTTGTTTTCTGCCATTGTTATTCTTCTTTTGACAATATTGCATAATATTTTGAACGGGGTAATTCGGAGGTATTTTCTTCGCATTATTATCCTTAATACTAATAAAAATATCTTGATGTTTTTTTATTGTAGTATTCTCCTTAGTATTTTTAATTTTTTTTTCTGTATCGGTCCACTTAGATTTGCTTCCATTTTTTAATTGACAATTATTCTGTTGGACTGTCGGCGCATATACTTCCGTTTCTGTTAAATGTCTTGCATCTTTCCTCATTTTTTTATAAATCTCAGCTTCTAATTGATTTTGAGATTCTTTTTCGGATACCATATTTAATTTCATTTCTTTTTTTGACTTCCCCTTAGATTTTTTCGATCCTCCATCATTGATTTGTTTTTTCTGTCCTGACTCTTTTTTTAACTGACTTTCTAGCTCTTGATTTTTAGTCTTCCTCTGTTTAACATCCGGCAATTTATTCTCTTCCTTTGACTTTGGAGTTGTGTTATCGTTTATTTGTTTCTGTAATTGTTTTTCACAATTATTTTCACCTGAATTTGTGAGCAATCTACTTTTTATTTGTAAAACACTTTTATTTAATTCAGGAACATTTTCTGATACGTCATTTTTGATTGTTAGATTATTATCTACAATTGCACATGCATTATCCTCATATTGTTCTGGATCATAATAAAGTGGCAAAGGTGCTGCTCCGAATATATTGAGAACAAAATAGGGTTTCTTATCATCTTGACTGCCACCGGCTAATCTATTTGATCTACCTCCAAACAGAAATTCATTCCTATTAATAGTGATGAAATCTTGTTTATTTTTATTACTCTTTGGGTTCTCTTGAAATTGTGAATCAGTTTCTAAAGAAAATCTGTTAAATAAGTTCTCCTTCTGATTAATATTTTCTGAAGATTTTTCTAAAAATATAATTCAAAAATAAGTTATTGAAAAATCAAGTTTTTTTGTTGAGACTTTTAATATTGTTAGCAAACCTGCTCTATAAATACTTTCTTCTGTTCTCCTTGAACTGCTGGGTTCAGCTGACGATGCACAATATTGTGTAAAGTTGTAAGTACCTTGATCATATTGGTGATTTACAGTAATTTTGCTTTCTTCATTCTCTTGTTTATTTTGGTCTGCTTTTTATTTAAATTTAATTGTTATGAAAATATTAACACATTTTTATAAATATTACCTTTATTATTATTGTTTTGTTTTTCAAAAGTACGATAACGTTTAACCATTTTGTAATGCCATCTATCAAATTATATAAAAGTGTTAAAATTAATATGTTTTAAAAGTAAAATCTTATATATGGTATACACTAAATTTCCATTTCAGTAACAAGGAGTAAAGATTAAGAGGTTGAAATGAATCCAAACAAAGTTAAACGATTGTTTCGTATTAATAAATATAAATTTTTTACTTTCTCCTTCTGAAACTTAATAATGATTATCTTAGAGTGGGGTAGAGGCGTACAAGCTGGGGACCTTGCAAAAACTTGACTTATTTTGGCCTCAAAAATTTGGCACATTTTGACACCACAACTTATGTATATGGGCAGGGTAATTGTTCTAAGCAAACCCATTTTAGACCAAGTAGCCATTTTGATGTTTTAATAAAGCAAACATATTTAATTCACATACTAGTAATATTCGGCAAGCATTTTAGGAAGTGCTGGGTGGTGTCAAAGCAAATATGTTACAATTTCTTTTTTTTTCTCCGACCCGTAACTAGAATAGTAGTCATTGAAAAAAAAAAACTTCTAATCGACCGACCTTATGACATGGAACTTATTTTAAGTTTACTATCGTACCTCATGATGGCATAAGAATAAGTTCAATCAAATCAGTAATACTATTGTACAAGTCGGAAACTAAACTTCGGCTCCGAAGATTGGCTTCTAATGATGCAATTTGACTTCACACTGTTTGCAAATACTTAAATTTGTTTCGATCATTTCATCCAATACAAGAGGAGGCCACTTTAAAGCTTATTACTGTTCCTACAAGACTAAGGCGTAGATGCTGGGTCATTTCTAATAACTTAAGGGTCGATAAATTGGTTTGACGTGTTAGTCAGATTGAGTATATCTTTAACAGAACAATGTAACTATCGGAGAAATATTGGTATCGGCTAATTTCTGATAGTTTTAATGTCGTAAAATTGTTTAGAAGTGTCAGACAAATTCATATAACATTGATCTTAATAACTGAAATTGGAGTAATAAGTATTAATCATATTTTTATCTGAAATTCAAACTGAATTCTTATTTTAGATTATTTCGAAAAGAAGAAGGAGTAATCCGTAGCATCTTTAACAAATTATATAAGTTTAACTGTAAGAATATTACACCTTAAATACCTATAACAAAGGTCAATTTTACTGAAATCACTTAGAATTAAACCACTTAGGGTTTTACATATGTACACAGATTTATAACTAAATGTACAATTATAGCAGTGATATCTACTTTAAAATATAACTATTTAAAAACGGTCACATTAGAATTAAATATTTATCAGTCATTTTTTGAAAAACAGATTAATCTGAAATTGTTATCCAAAATATTCAATGTACTAAAAAGGATTTAGTCAAGAACAGTCCTTCTTTTAGTCAATTTACATTCAACAAATAATATATAAGAAGACGTATTACAAAAACTATATTTTGGTAATAATTATTAGTTTAAATAATAATATTATACTCAATATTATATATGTGATATAAAAAAAAACTCCTTCCTTATTACTTAAAAGGAATTGTATTTATGTCACTTGACCTTAATTAAAAAGCAATGCATTTAATATCACTCTGAGTTATGTGTCAGTATAAAATTAAGATATTTGAAAGTTTCTTGTTTTAATTAATTACGGTTTTTATATAACTAAAGTTTACTTAAATGAATATAAAAATTGAAACTTCTCGAAGTTGAATAAACACAATCAAATACTATATTTCACGCAATGTCTGCCATATGCAAATTCAGTATTCAAGTACACATGAATCGCACTTAATTAATTAGAAAACCTCTTCGAACCCACAATGATGAACAAAAAGGAAATTTGGGAAATATTATTTGGTGTCTGCCTTTAATGGGATTAGATTTGGCAAACTTAACTTAATTGAATTTATTACGTGTATCTAATAGCTTCATGCTTATTATGTGGGCGAACATTTACATAATACTCTAGTTAATCAAAATTTATTCACCTTCACAAAAAACTTTTGTAGAGCATATTCTTTACCTACAAATCTATGTTAATACTTTAATGTGAAAAAGTGGAAACACAATCAAAAAACGTAGTGAAAATGTTTAAGATCCATAAAATGTGACGTACTGTAGATGAAGATATTAGGTTAGGTTAGGTTGAAATTAATCCAAAAAAAAACACCATTAAAATTTAATCGCGACTTGCACCCACACACACTACTCTATCTATATAAAATATAACTCATACTTTCGATACTAATTATATATGTGTATAAAATATAAATTATGTATTATATATATGTACAAATATAATATTTAGTACTTACATGAAAGCATTAGAGCATGAGTGCATGAGTATAATAATTATCCGTAATAGAAATGTCCAACAATTGTAAACAACTAATCTTAACTTGAAGAATATTTTGGAAACAAAAAAAATATTTAAATTCAATTAATTATTGTGATCAATTTATAAGTGAAATAAAATATGAAATATTGCCTATATTCGGTAGAAATTAAAATTGTTTAATGTGTTTTTTTTATTTAAAGTGAACTTTTTTTAAATGATGAGATATTATAACATACAAATAAACAACTCAAAAAACTCAAAAATAAATAAGCATATATAGAAATTAAATTATTTTAATTTAAAAAAGTCCACAAAAAAATATACACTATCTTGGCTATCAAATAGCCAAGAGTGTTTAAATAAAACAACATAAGTAGTAATATTGTAACAAAAATTATCAGAAATATTTCAAAAATAATATGCAATTAATAATTAAAATAAAATAAATAAATATTTTTATAATTAAAAAAGTTTTTTCCAACATTCTCCAAGTTTAATAATACTATTATTATTATTTAAATAATAAATAATTTAATACTTTAATAATTTAATATTGTAATAATAATAAAATGTATTAATTTGTGTAAACACTTACCAATTAACTTTCAAAAATCGAATGTTTGAGTATAATACATATAGAAGGTAATATGGGATGTTCACAGTAAACGTTCCTTAACTGGAAATATATTTTAAAAATACATTAAACAGAACAATTAATATATATTCTTTAAATTACTGTTTCAAATAAATAAATATTTTTATTAATAAAATAATTTTTTATAATATTTTTCAGTTTAGTGGACAAAATCATAACTTTTTAATAATATTAAAATATACGAATTTGAATAATTACTTACCAAATAACATAATAAAAATGTATAAAAGTCTTAAAGCTAAGTATTTCGTTAACGTTAAACTTCTTATCTGGAAATAAATTTTTAATAAAAATTATATATAAATATTTTATCATTAAATGGTTTTAATATTTATTTTAAATAATTATGTTTTTAGTAAAATATAAAAAAATAATATAGTTGATTAGTTCACAATAATTCAATATCCCAATTAAGGACCAAGCGGGAGAAAAACTAACCACCAACTTTACTTTAAACAGAAAAGTTACTGATTTAAATCGATTTTATTAATTTTACCAATTATTCGAAATAATAATGTACCATTAAAACAACGCTTAACTTATAAAAAACAAAGTTTAATAAATTAAGCTTATATTTACTTACACTCTAAATATAAATGTAAGATCCTGCTTCTCAAAAAATAAAATAACACCCGACGCTGATTCCTAGAAATAACTTATGTTCACCTAGAAATATGAAAAAAATTATTGAATAAAAAAAATTCTTATTCTAAATCTTATTTATATTATTGACAAGAAACGAAATGTTAAAATGTTGGTTTTACATATAAAATAAAATATTTTATTATTATAATTTATGAATGCATATGGAAATACTAAAAGAAAAAGAAAATAAAAAGGATTTTTGTAGTAGAAATTTACTGGTCTCGTATTAAAAACAGAAACGATCTGATAAGAAAAAATATTTAAGAATAGTACCAATGTATATAGGTATATGTGGTTAATATAAATTTATATTTAAATTGTAACTTATTAAAATTTTTTTTTATAAAAATTTCTATTATATACAACATTACTTAATTATCTATTGTCCGACTTTATCTTTAATATTTTTATTGTCTTCCAGCAAAAGAAAACTCTTAGCTCAACTAATCTTTGCTTTCTTTTCATTGCCTTATCTACCCTAGTAAACAACTTTATCTACATATATAGGATACAATGTACAATACTATACTATACTATACTATACTAATACTATAATACAATTTATATTCTTATGAGTGTTGCAATTTTGATTATTAGCTCACAATCTTAAAGCTTTCAACGTTTTGAAAACGGAAATCCTTCAACATTTTGACTATATTATTACAAATTATGTTCAGACAAGTCATCAAATCATTGGAACAAAAGGTGCAAACAATATTTTGAAATAAAAATCTGTTCAGAATCTCAATTGTGTTTTATTTATGTTGACTCTGAGGGCTACAACATGTATAAACTTTTATTATGTTAAGACTTATTTTTCAGTAAAATTCAAATTATCTAATTTTTATAAATATAAATATTTCAACTCACATGATATAAATCATCATATAACGCCTATTATTTCTTCTCGAATTGTGTTAGTTAATATCCAATGTTCAAAACCTTTCTTGCGTCTGGTCTAACTTTAATTAGATTTAAAGAAAATATATATTAAAACGTAATAATTTATTTTTTGTTCAAATAATTATTTAAATTTCAATGCTTCCTTGGTAAAGTTTTACTAAACTTTAACAAACAGAAAATATTGCTGTTACGCTTAATGAGGGTCGTATAAATAACGTCCTTGGTAACAAATCTTAATAAAGTTTCATATCAAACTTTGTATAAGCAGTCAAAGTATGTGTATAGGAACTCTAATCAAATTCAAGAATATTTCAGCTAAAAACTAATCCGAATCGATATCTTTAATTTCTATAATTAGTTTCGGTAAGCACTACGTCTCATCTATATTATATTTATAATTATAATTATGGTGTTTTGACCTAATAGCAGATTTGATTTTCAACCTCTTCTACTGCTCTACTATAAAATGTTGTATTATAAGTATTATTCAACAGAAGCTTATATATGTAAAAAACTTTTGACTCTAGACTTTTATCACAATAATAAAAGTTGTATTAAATTGCAATGATAATTTAAAAAATAAAAATTTTATGAATATTTTCCATCTAAATCCGCATAAAAAGTTTAATGTTATAAGAGAACCAAATGTATAGTAGACTTAAAATATCCTGTAAACATCACGGCATACAACAGATATGTAGTAACATATAATTCAACATATATTTACATACATATTATTATATTTTATTAGTATGTTAGTCTCCAATACAGAAAATCTTAGGAATCACATAGAATGGGGACCCATTGTAATACCATTTGCCTTACCTCCTCAACTATCTCTGGTAAACCAATTTGAAGCGGCAACACACCTTTGGAGAGTTAAAGAGATTGATACGTCTACTATTATATTTTACAATAATAATATGACCCAAAACTCATTAATATTGAACGGTTTCTGTCTCGATACTTTTATTAAGAAAACAGCACGCTATGGTATTGCTTTTGGTTTCGTAATATTTTGAGTGATATAATAGCAGATCATTATATATCATTATACAATGTCGCTTTACACTTTAATATCTCAGTTGTCGAATAGAAGGCTTCCACAAAACTATATTATATGTTAATTTAGAGTAAAAAATAACAAAATTCTGTTATGAATTTTTTTGGGCTCTATTCTCAATAAAAATTATATTTCAAATAACATGCGTAAATCCAAATTATTTAGATACCTTATAAAATTCATAAAAAATAATTGAAATAATATAGGGTTAAAATCTGTAATGTGATCTTTATCATATAGACACGCAAAAAAAGACTTCTACGCGATATTGATTATCCAAGTGCGAAGAGTGTTTATTAAAACGAAAAACTACAGTAATATTAATAACATATCGTGACAAAATATTTAGAAACAAAACCAATACGCAAAAGTTTTAATTTTAACTGAACAAAACCAATACGCAAAAGTGAAACTAAAAAGATTTTCTTAAATTTAAATTTATCATTAAAAATTTGATTTCAAAAGTCAAAAAAGAGTTAATTAAATCAATTTTACTTATAGTTTACAGTCTATAGTTCTTACTCTATTTAAATGTGCACCTGAATGTACAAAACTTTTTTACCTTCTTACTTCTTTAGCAGCACGCAGTATCCCTCTTCAGGCACCTTACTGAGTGCGCACCACCTTAACTTAATAATTACACTATAGACAGGGTATTACTCAATTTGGACTTGCTTAAATTGCCACTTGAAATACGCTGGAATGCCGTCTTTCATCTTCATGGTAGGATCAAGCCGTTGATTATTAACTATATGTATATGTCAATACCGTAATAAAGCTCCTACAGCACATAGTTCATTTGGATGTGATAGTCCTCACCAGTTCATAGTGGACCAAATATCTATTGATCACCTTTATTCTCAAACACTTTCAGTATTATTTTAACATTTTGCGGTAGCATTTATGTTTTTGTGTCATTCCAAACCACAGTTAAGACGAGCATATCATAGATCATAAGTATTATCAGTCGAAAGAGAGTCGCAATTGCCCATTAAACCACCTATTAACAATGGTAGATCTTCGTCTAATTTTCACGCCGACAATATTGTTGGTGTTTATGGCAGTGCCATGATAAATGAAACCCTTCACAGTTTTGAAAGTTTAGTTGCCTCCAATCGTTTAACCAACTAAGTAACGCATAAGTCCGACAGTTGTCGATTTTATATTTTGTTCTGGAAAAACGATTATTTAAGCTAATTTAAATAATTTTTATAATTTATATATTTAATAATACCTCAAGTACAACTGATAAAACTTTAAAGCCAACAAAAAAGCCACACTTCTTAAAATTATTATTTAAATTATAAATTAAAAAATGCCATTTTATGCATCAAAAATTTTTTTGGGAGTCTCCTCATACTCGTATATTTTACACTTAATTTTGCATTTTGGCATAACAGTTGCTAGAATCACATTATACAGAATTAAATTATACATTATACACATTAAAAGCATGCCTAACGGAACAAGCAAAAATTATTATGACAACTCAAACATATTGCAATGAAAGGTCAGCATCGATCCTTTAAAAATTATTGTGAAGCGGGAGAAGTGGAGAGGAAAGTAGGATCGAGAAAGACATAATGCACCACTGCACGAAAAGTTCGCATAATCACGAAAACGAGCGTCCAGGGTCGGTTTAAAAATGTTGTTGAAATAGCATCTGGGGTGAACAATTCAACGTCGGCTTCAGAATATGGACATCTGCAAAAAAACCTCTTTTGAATTGTCGAATAAAGAAAAATAAATTGGGCAAAGGATAAACAAAATTTGAGTAAATCTAAATGGTCACGACTACTGTTTTCAGATGAGCCTAAATTTAACTTTCTGGACTCAATGGCTGTCGCAGAGTCCGCAGAAGAAAGAGAGAGAACGTTATTCAGATAATTGCAGTGTTGCCGCTTTAAAACATTTATCTTACAATATGATATGAGGATTGAGAGTAAGGTCAATGTAGAAGAGTTCAAAAATATTATTCTGACCGCAGTTGTGCCTAGCATTGAATCCAAACTAAGCTGGAGAAGACCCAATTTTACAGAACGAATAATTTTTCGATTTTTCAGGGTGCAGAGGGCACCCTGTCATTGGGCGCCCTCTCTGAGTAATTCATTGACTTATTGTTATTAGTATAACTTATTCAATATATATGAATATTTTTAAACTATAGATTACCATAGATTATAGATTACCAAATTGGATATTAAATCCTTAGATGTGCCACGAAACAGCCTTGACTTTAATCCCTTATGAGTGCCAAAATAAGAAAACGGAAGCCCAAAACTATGGTGAAATTAAAAGAAGAAATAGAATAGATATTCTATTCACAGATATTACAGACGAATATTTAAAGGTTTCTTATGATTCGATGCCCATGTGTTACGGTTAAATGTATTATCAAGGCTAAAGATGGTGCTATCAAGTACTTATTTAAATTAATAAAAGCAGTATTACATTGCCGTAGAAGACAATTTCCATGAGATTATGGTAAATGCAGCATAAATGAAGTATTTTTTGAATATATCCCTTTCTGTAATTAATGTAGTTTTTTATTTAATTTTGTTGTATTATTAAAAAATTGGAGAAAATAATGTGTAAATGATGAGGTGAATTAAATGACAAGAAAAATAGTTTCTTCATTTATTTTAGTGGAATTCTAAATCTAAAATTGTTTACAAAAAATATATGCTTTTTGAGTTATATTTGTTTATTTAATAATAAAGTTGCAAAAACATAATTTACATAACAAATTAAAAAATTAAAAGAAATAAACACACAAAAAAATACTATTGTGTTAATTTTTTTGGCTTGTGTCTTCCATAACAATAAATTAACAAATCCAAGTTTATTTGACGTGTCTGTTATTAATGAATTAAATATTGCGCATAAAAGTATTTGCACCATTTGAATGCGAATATAAAAAATTGTCATCAATCATTTGATATTTAAAAAAAATAAATAAAATTCATTCAGAAATTTTGCAATTTTTAAAACATATCCGCTATTTTACAATTTTACAAATTTTACAAATGTGATTTCAGGTTTTTACCTTTTTTCATAGTTAATTTGCATATTTTTCGCACGCCTTCATCCTTTTCCATACATTTTGGAAATAAATTTTCCTTTCGCGGCAGTATTGCCATTTTCCATTTCGTGTGCTCTGGTTTTTCTCATTTTGTAAATATGAGTGAAGGAATGTGTTGGCGCTAAAAGGGGAAAAAATTATTATGCATATGAATTTATCATTAGTTAAGTTTCAGTGTTCAGGTTTTGGTTAATTTATAATAATATAGAATATATAATACTTAAAGGGGAAAATTTTAAGACCTTTGTTTCATCCAAATACCTTAATTGCAATTAAATGTATGTGAAACGGTATGTGGAAGTATCGCAAGCAGAAGAAGAAGAACCCCTTTTTACAACCAAAAGAATATTTTCAAAGGAGCTCTTGAAGCAGAACTGTTTGACATAACGAAATGTCACATAAATTTCTTGAGTTATGGATACAATTTTAGATTTGACATTTTACATTCAATAAAATTGAGATTTGTTACAAATTCCCTTTCAAATATTGTGTTATAGCTACCGGTAAAGACATACATGTAAAAAATAATTCAACACTTTAAGGTACAATATTACATGAGAGCTACGAATATTTCCAAATACAAGAGAAATACATATCAAATAGAGATAAGTATGAAAAAAGATTTAATATCGCATTTTCAAGAACACCAGACAATGGTAACTATGACTATATGCTAATTTTTTTCAAAATATCACAGAAATGTTTCCTTGAATGATTATTATGCAAAATTAAATCCGTTCAACCATTTTGGAAACTGCTCGTTATTAATATTGTTAAGTTGATGGATTTAACACTACCATCTAAGGTTTTATTTTCCCTTTCATGGATTTAGAGCATTTCTACAAGTCAACATTTTTTTTTAAAAATTGTAGTATTAAATCTTTTTTACCGAGTCTTTATGTCTTATATTGGATT